TGTCAGTTACATAAGTTATACAGTAAAATCAAAGCCATATTTTTCTTCTGATGTGGGTGTCTTGTTTCTAAAGTCATTACAGGAGGCCTTATTGAGAGTATGTCTATTTAATCACAGCCAGAATTGAATTTTTTCTGTTTAGTACGAAAATTGTTGAACTCCCTGCCTCTTGAAGTCCAGTAAAATGTCCTTCTAAATACATTTAGGCATCTTAAGTCATTTTTGTAAAGTCTACATTTTCTGAATGGTAATGCTTTATGGCCATGACACATCACCATGCAATGCTGGCCCAGATACTGTGGTGTAGCAGAGTTATAAGGATTTTTATTCTTCTTCATTAACAAAGTGTGGACTTCCTGGTTGAAGGGTGTACTTTTTATAGATCTTCCAGTCCCAACCCAGTTTGGAAATTAAAGGGTATCCATCTCCTCTCTGCAACACAGAGATACTGTCCTGGCAATTCTGCTAGCATGGGCGAATTCAACAAAAAAAGTGGGAAGTAGAAAAAAGAGCGTGCCACCATTTGTGCAGAGTCGATGCAAAGTGCCCAAGTTGGGCAGTGAGATATCTGCATTGGTCTTTAAGGTGCTACAAGGCTCTTTAAGATCACTGTCAGGGAAGAGTGCTCCTGCACATGAACAAAGTACCTTTCCCCATTCTTGAGGCTGAGCAGCGGCAGCCTTCGTATCCCTGCCCTACTCGCAATGGGACTTAAGGACGGAGGGGCTCAGGAGGGGCTGGAGGCGACCGCAGAAGCGAAGCCCGCGCCGCGCACAGCCTCTTTGGACGGGAGGAGCAGCTGCGAGGAGAAGGCGGGAACCTCACCTCGGCCAGCTTCTTCTTGGCGATGGCGCCCGCCCCCACTCCGCGGCGGTGCATCTTGCCGCACGGGCGGGCGCAGGGGCGCTGCCGGGGTCGAGAGGCGCTCGGCGGAGAACGCGGCCCGGCGGGAGGAGTCCCCCACCTGCACGTCATCAGCATGCGACAGGAGGGTGGGTGGAGGGACGCCCTTCTGCCCCACCCCGCCCGGGGACGCCGTCGGCTGCTGGGCAGGCGGGCGGGGGAGAGGAGGATGGGACATTTCTGCGCCCGGCCGTAGGATGCCGCCGGCTTTCTGAGGGGAAAGAATGGGGCGGGGGGAGGCCATGCCACCAGCTGTGTGGCCCTCCAAGACTAAGGAGGAGGTACCACTCGGTTCGTCGCGATTTTTGTTGCCACAGTGGCCGACCCCTCTAAATTCTCTCTTCCACTCGTTTTCGTGTGAGTGTGTGTGTGAAAAGACAAGTTTACAATTTTCTCTGCAAATCAGATCACCCGCTGCACCTACTTTTTGGCGCTCCCTCCCTCCCAAAATCCTCAGGCTGACTTCGGGCCTGCAACAGGCTAACACGCCAGCACCCCTGGGCTTGCTCTGGTAAGGCGACTCCTGTGACGATTCGGAGGTGGTGCCATTCATCAGCATCGGCGCATGAGCGTCATGTTTCGAAATTGCGAGGCTGCCTGATAGTTTAGGACTGGCTTGTCCAATTTGGTGTCTTCCACATTTGTTGGACTACAACTCCCATACACAACCAGTAGTAGTCCCAACACATGCAGAGGGCAGCAGATTAGGGAAGGCTGATGTCGATGTCCTGGAAGAGCTCATACTTTCCAAGTCATGCTTGCTTCTTATTTATGCACCTTTAAGGGATAAGGAGCCAAGATTTGAATTTTAGCCTTGTTCAATCATTGTTAATGCTGTGAGTGTGTTATTTGAGCTTATGTCTCAGGGGTTGCAGTGGCACTTATTTTGCCTGTCCACAACTTGAGTTTGAACTGTGATCTATAAGTGAAGAAGCAGTGAGCTATGTTAGGAGATCCTGGCTTAACTTTGTAATCCTAAACACAACGGACAGGATGCAGACTTGGTTGCTTTGAGTGATCCCTTTAAAATCAATGGAACTTAAATTAAGCATGACCTATTGATTTCATACTCATTAAGTATGACTGTATTAAGTACCTCACAATCCTATACATTTCTTCACAGAACTTACTCCCAGGTGAGTGAGATGGGAATGAAACCTTGGTAAGGAATAAGTCCCTTTAAAGTCAGTGGGACTGACTTGTAAGTGGCATAGTTTGGGATCTACTGTAACAGGGCTTTGTGTGGATATAACAACCCTCTTCTCCCACCTTTGTTTTATGGTGTGTGGGCTAAATGTGCTGTTGTATTGCCCTCTAGTGGCATATTACTTAACTGGAAATCACAGGACAGCCTCAACAGATTAAGTGTGGTTCACTTGCGGAGCAGTGGGTTCCAGTTGCTGTGCATCTTCCATATCATGGTCTGCCTCTTCACAGACAGTCCAGCTATCAAGAACTTCACCCCCTTAAAACTTCCCATGTTGGTCTACCACTTTGTATATCCTTTTTCTTTCTGTGGAAAATCCATTAAGGAGACAAGGACAGAATAGCTGTGCCATGCCTTCTGATTGGTATTGCTATATGTCTTTTGTCCGGAAGCCCCTCTTGATTCATTCTAATAGCTTGTTGCACTTCCCTGTTCCCACACATGCAATCCTGGCATTGACAGTTTCTCCTGTTGCCAGCAGAAGTTCTCCTGGGCAGTGTGTGTGTCTCCCAGCTACAACAGCTTGTTTCTGCTCAATGTTTTATAACCCTTGCAAGAAAATGTAACACCAAAGACTGGAACCAACAAAAGCAGTGATTAGGAATGGAGAGAACCCATAGTAGTGGCAAAACCAATGGTCCCCTCACCTGTAACTTTTTGGAATATCCATTTTCTGTGTTTTTAGCATTCAGCTACTAATCCATTTTAATTTTAGCTTCAGTTTATTTTCTACCTTATCCCAAGGCTTCAGAGGTCCTATACTGCTAGGAAAACCCATAAAATCCTGACTTGACCATGATTAGCTGGTAGCTTTACTTCATCAAACTTAGTGGGGTCAGAGTATGTTACAAATATGCCCTGGAGCTTCTTTAAGGATAAAAGTAGGCATTGTGGGTTATCAGTAAATTAATTCACTGGATTGGATCCAGGTGCTGATTTTCATGGACAGATGTGGACTCTGCTCATAGACAGTGGCTCCTCCACCCAGTTGTGAGATACTCTACATCTCTCCAGGGTCCCCCAGCCATTTATGTAGCATTCTCGGGGGGGGGGGGGGTTGGAGAAGCTGCTGTGTGAGGGAGGAGAGGGCCGAGAATTCCATTTCTGCTGGTTCAGTTACATAAGCCTAAATATGGATTCAGACCTTTCATTGCAATGTTTGAACACTTTTAAACCCATCATTATCATTCTATTTGTACCTCTTCAAATCTTTAGAGAGGTTTACATCTTAAATAATCACAGGTAAGTAAGGTCTAGAAGCTTGATCTTCCACAAGCCCTATGCAGCTATCTAGATTTGAACCAGGCTTTTAGAAGAGGTCTGATTTCATGAGATTCATTGCTGCACTAGGAGTAAAACTGAATCTCCTCAGTACTTGATTCACTGCACTTGACTCAACAGTTAACATATGGATTAGCAAAATCTATAACAGAGAAATCCTGTGTAGGTCTACTTAGAAGTAAGTTATGCTGTGTTCATTGGTACTTACTTCTAGGTAAGTATGCATAGGATCGCAGCCTAAGGATACAGTGGCTGGCTGGGGAATATTGGGAATTATAGAACGGTAAACCTGCATAGGAGTACACTCTTAGTTAATCGCTGTGTGTTGTGCCTCACTCATCCTGCATTAATCACACTGAATTACATTCTGAAACATCTCAACTTGAGAATAAATGGTTTTATTGTTTTTGCTTTCATTGTCAAAATTACTAAATGATGCTCATTAACAAAAGGTGCAAAACACGGAGAGTACAGAATTGGTCTTCTTCCTCATGAAAGCTACTGAGTCCTGGGAAAATAGGACAGTAAAATATGTAATGTTCAGTAAGGAGTCTGATGATGGAAGGGAAAAAGAAAAGGGAGATGACTGCGCTGAGCCTTCCTAGCTCTAGCATGAGAAATTACCCATGTTATATTAGTATTACAATTATGGTCATTGTCATGTCATCTGCATCCCATAGGGCTGAAATGCCTCCCCCCCCCACCCCCGTTTCAAACAATCTGGATGGAATGAATGTAAATATTCTGTGTTGGTGCCAGACCTAGTGCTTAGCACAGAGCCACTGTGCTCAGAAATCAGAGAATCAGTTGCAGCAGTGCCAGCACCCCAATTTGGTGTGTCCTTGGAAAAAGACACCTTCAGCAGCGCCTCCACTCCCTCATCAGCGCAACTGCTTGCTTCAGGGAGCAAGGAGGCAGTGGCACCAGTGCTCACCACCACCACCACCACCACCACCACCGTGAACTGGGCCAGAGTGAAAGGCAGGTAAACAAGCATGTTGGCGTGGTGGAAAGGAGGAGGGACTCTTGTCAATGGCCCCTTACTGTAGTGTGAGTCCTTGGGAAATACCCAGCTATGCTTACATATTAAAAGTGATTAGACTTGACTAGATAAGTCATACAGGCAACCAGATGCCCTCCAGATGCTTTAGACAACAAGCCTTGCACTTTCAGTGACCATTGGCCATGCTGGTTGGGGCAAAGTGCAGTGACGGCCAATTTCAGAAATGCATTCGCTGTATTTTTGGTTTTCAGGGAATTGTTTATGTAAGAGTTAAATTCTGACTTAGTCATGCTTCGAGTAGACCCATTGACATCAATGGAACTTGTTAGACTAACTTAAGTCCTATTGACTGGTCTATTCAAAGCATGACTAAGTATAGACCCATCCATTTAGGTTCGTCATCACCATCATTGGCATCATCATTATTTTGCAAGCGGCAACGGTCAACATTTGAGAGTTCCTGGCACACTGCAGTCATTGGGCCTGCCAGAGCACAGGCTCTTCCATTGGCACGGGACCCATAACATTGTTTCCCAGTCCGCCATGTGCACAGCCCGGGCGAGCCTGGCCATTCTAAGGAAAGCGAGAACAAAAAGAACTGCTCACTCACCATGGCCTGCAGAGGTCAGCAGAATTCAGCCATGCCAGAAATTCCTGCCTCAGGACATCCTTCCAGTCATCCAAACTTTTGGACAGAGCCGGTCTGAAGGGGGGGGGGGGGGAGGGTAGGAGTTTTTGGTAAAAGGGGGGGGGGGGGGGGAAGAAGAGTCATGGGAGGGTGAATCCCACATAGGTGGTTAACTTGGCAGTCAAATATATCATGATGGCACCTAAGGATTGGAACAGCCCCTGTATAGACTTCTGAAGGAATGTCATGCCTGACAGCAGTGTCAACCCAAATGATGTAGAAGGCAGGAGAAGCTTGACATGTTGGCATATGTCTGACAACACCACTTTCCAAAATGGCAGCCAATCATTCTCCCACAGCGCTGCCTGATGAATCATCTATTAAATGTATGCCAAAAGAAATTTTAAAAATATCTGTGGGACTTAATGCTTAGTTTATTTAGCGTTATTAATAAAATGTTTGTCACTCCTCCCTATGCTCACTTCCTGCACATTGCTTTGCCCAATATTAAAGTTGGAAAGAGATGGGGTTAAAACCAGACTTATGTCATACCTAGAAAAGACCAACTGAAATCAAATATTTTCCAATATTCTTTAACTTTTGGACAAAGCCAAACCAAAAAAAAAAAAGCAAAAAGCACAACTAACTTGAGTTCCATTTAATTCAATGGGTTCACTCTAACTGAAGGTATTTCAAGATGAGGCTTTTATTATGCAGTTGCACTGACTCATTTGTGGAATTTTATAGAGAGCAGGTTCAGAATGTTTCTGTCTGCAATTTGTAGTCCTCTAGTGCTTTTTTTACTGCTTCCATCTTTTTTCTAAAGAAAAACTATGAAGGACAGAGAGAGTAGTTGAACCCTAAGGCTGGATCATACTCATGTGGTCTTTAGTATATCAAATAGCTGGCCACCAATTACCATCAGACTCCAAAATAATTTAGATTTTTAGTCATGCACTCAAAAATAAGTCCCATTAAATGCAATGGAACTTGCTCCCAGTTCAGTGGCTGTAGCTCTGCAGTCTTAAGGATGAAGCAGAACCAGTGATGGCTGGCTATGAGTTTATTGCTGTATGCAAGAATATGAATAGCAAAATGTTAGAATACATGACTTAAGGTACAATCCTATGCATATTTAGACAGGAAAAGGCCCTGCCAGATGGACTCTGTTCCTGTCTAAACATGTATAGGATTGTGCCCTTATTTCACAAATGTTGTATTAATTCAAGAAGGTTTAGATAAAGTTATTAGTCAACTTATTGAAGTCAACTTATTCCACAAAATGTTATTCTGATTCCCACACAGTCAGGTGGACAAAGATATCCTGATTTAGTATTTTTTGGAATAATATTAAGTAATGTTTTCCTCTCTATTATAATTCTCTTTATTCTTATATATTGAGATGTTTATTGGTGTTCCTTCTTTTGCTTTATTTATTTTTATAATGTATTTTATTTTTCCTCCTTTTTAGTCTCTTTTACATTAGGTGTATTTTTCCAAACTCTATATAATTTCAAGATTACTTTAAAAATGTGGCACATTAGATATGTTTTGAAGTGTAGCAGTGTTCCAAAGCTGCACCAGCCATTTCACATTACAGTGGAGCATGTTGAAAGTAACATATTTACTCTTTGCTCATTAGCATGTAGCACCCAAGAAGAATCAGAGCATCTTAAGGGGATGACCAGCTAATGATGACTTCAGCTTTCATGGGCAGTTCTTTTGAGCCAATAAAGCATGCAAATCTGTCTCCACACGTGAACTGGTGGCATCTTGTTCCACAATGATTGCTGCATGGGAAACCTCAACACAGTTTTCTTCAACCTGGTAACCTGCAGAGGTGGCATTGACCGCATGGCTGAAGATGATGGTGGCACTTGTAGGCCAGAACAACTGGCATGTACCAGGTTGATGAAGGCTGCCTTAAGCAACGTATTTTCAGTAGCATGCTTTGTCTGTTCCACAGAGGGTGCTGTTATAACCTCTTAAAGTCAGCAGATGCATCATGAATCATCCCCATCATCCTACATTTTTACTCCACCTTCCTTCCTTTGGCAAGGAAGCCAGCCGCAAGGCAGCCTACAAGGTTCTTCGCCTCTCCATTTTATGTCACAACTACCCTGTGAGGGAAGTTGGATCAAGAGTCTGTGATTGGCCCGAAGTCACCCAGTGGGTTATATGGCTAACTGGGGACCAGAACCCAGAACCAGTGCAGCACTCTAACCACTAGCCATGCTGGCTCTCACAACATTGTGGCCAGCTCCTCCCTGAAGCATGAGTAATAGCATTTAATTAATTTGTGAGGATCCAACACCACCCGATGATCCAATGAGTACATAGAAAAGGGTGGTTAGCTTAGTCTGTGACTTGAAATGTAAATGCTTTCCCTATGAATACAGTTTTGCAACACAGACCGATAACTGATCTCACCTCTTTCCCCCCATATTTTTCAGAAGCCAATTAATAAAATCTCTTGTCTCTGGGGATCCAGCAACAGCGCCTTGATTCTTTATATCCAGTGCCATGGATTCAGCTTCTCTCTTGGATTGGTCGATACTGTCACTGGGAGGAGATGCACAAAAACCATCAAGTCTGCAATCCCACCAAGGAGCACAGTCACACAGTCATGCTTCAGCCCTGTTAAAACCCACCTCCTCTTCAGCTTGACTTTGAATATGAACGTGGCTTTATGTCAGGAGAAGTAGTCAAATATGTAGCAGTGCAGATAGATAATTTTCAGAGCCTGAACTTAATGGTCTTAGGTGGGATAGGTTAGATAACCATGCATATTTCGCTCAGAGGCACCCAGCTAATGTTTCTCTTTGCCCTGGCCACCTCTCCGTGCCTTACGACTGGTCCTACATTCTGTATATGTTAGAACAACTATACTAACAAAACTGTTTTCCAACACTGATATTTTTAAAAAACTGAGCATGGGCAGTTTTGTACTTTAAATTCACTAAGATAGCAGCTCCTGCATGACCATGTGAATGAAATGGTCTTTTCCTTTGCTGTCTTATCACCTGTGTGGTCATCTGCCCCCCAGCCATTCACCCACACCCCCAGGCCTGTAGGGCCCTGGGTCTGGGCCCTGAAGTCCAGCCCAAGCAGCATCACTGCAAAGATGCCTTGGACTGGCTAGATGTAACTCAATACTTTGAGAAGGAAATTGGAGCTAATAACCCCTCTTTGCACAAGGAGGCACAAGTGGTGAGAACTACCTTTTTAGAGTGATCTCTCAGTTTTGTTGAATCTCAGAAATTTGTTTTTCTGCCATTATAGGCATTTGCCACATGACCGATTACCCCATGGTACCTACCATCTACCCCTATATTACCAGGGTTAATTCACCACCTGATAAGTCTACCTGCCTTCAGGAAGCTCAGAGTAGCATGCAAGGGGGTTTCTCATTTAATAATCACAATAACTTTATGAGGCTACTTAGGCTTACAGATGTCACCTGACCCAAGATCACTCAATAAACTTGGTAGTGGGGTAGAGATTTGAACCCCCCCCCTCCATTTTCTCCGTTTGTCCAAATCCAACCCTCTGTCTGCAACCCCAGACTAAAAAGATGTTCATTCTCACTTTTAGCTCTAGGACAGTGGGCCAGACATTTATGAAGATCTGGTAAGTTGGCAACCACAGTCATGTGCAGGGCAAGCCTTAACTACTAGGCAGAATTAAGCCGCTGTCTCAGGCTGCACGGAGCAGTCCAAGAGGTTGGCAGGGGGAGCTGTTTGTGATCCCTCAGCTAGCTTGGTACTCCCAGGTGTGGTGGAGGACACAGTCCCTCTGCATGTGTTAAAACAGAATTTAGCAGCTGGCCCAGCTGCTTCTGTACATGGAATGAGGCAAAGAAGTAGGGAGGCGGGGACGACATGATGTTGCCCTTAACTTCGGGCAACAAAATTTCTTGGGCGGGCCCTGGAAAATGTGCTTGTTAGAGCTAGAACACTGCCGTCCGGGGCACAATCAGAATTCCCTTCTCCCATTGCAGCTGGGATTGGCGTTCCATCAAATCTGGATGAAATGCCTGGATCAGCCCCAGCCTGTCCATTGCCTTTCTCTGTCCTACTGAATTATTTCTAGGAATTGCTTTTAGAAGTAATAGGTAGCAGTAGCTACCAGCAATGACTCTGGTGCACTCAACAAGGAGATGAAAGAAAATGCCTGTGTGCAGATCCCAGATTTCCTAAATGTATCTATTAACAATATTGGGAAGCCTTCTGGAACAGGAAACCATTTTGCATTAATTAGGCATGCCATGAGTTCCGCTTCATGTTTGCTCATTTGGATGCTTAAATTGCAACTGTGTAGCTTACACTTTGGATGATGTGTAGGGGTTGTCCCCCACCCCAAATTCACCAGCAACAGCTCCAGCATAGGATATTTTAAGAATGGCCTATGCCTGAGCGTGTTAGTGAATGGTGTGGGGGGAGCTCCAGGGCAAGAAGTTAGCTTTGCCCTCCCATGTTTCTTCTTCTCACCCAACCTTTCAGGCTTCGATCCTCCCAGTGCCTTCCTTGGAATCGTGGCTAAGCAGTCTGTGCTATAGACTTACTTCACATTTTTCTCTCTCCTGCTCAAAAGCCATTCCACAAAGTTCTTTTTCAGCATGTTGTCCAAAGTTCGACTGTAATCGCTTGCTAAGGTTCCCTCTGAATATCGCCTCTGTAGGAACCTGGGCTCGTTCAGGTTTTCCCTAAGAACAAAGGCGGGGTGGGGGGAGAGACTATTGGAAAACATTTTCTCTCTTGCTTAGAAAAACATGTAGACCCAACTCAGATGCTCCCTCCTTCTTCCCTTTCCCCATCAGCACACACACAAAGATCATTCGCTCCTAATTTTCAACAACCCCCAGTTTGCCCTTTCATCCAAATTTAACGTGCTGTGTGATTTGTGCAAACAACAGTCGGTTCTTTTCTCACCCTTTCAATACTGGGATGAAGCCCTGATTTGGGTTCCTGGCTTAGGGGCAGACTATAGTTTGCTCAAGGCATTGTTGAACACATTTGTGTGAAACAGCATATAATTGCTTGCTACTAACTAGAAGCAGAAGCATCTAATCTCCTCCCTTTACATGCTGGGGAAGAGGAGGAGGAAGAACACAAGCCTTGCTGCGGCTCATTCACAGTCTATCAAACCACCATTTGAACACTGTCCACCATCCAAACCATGGTTTGAAGACAGCCTTGATTTTTGTGGGACCAGCACTTTGATCAGTGTGGTGCAGTGGTTAAGAGAGCTGGCCTGGGACTTGGGAGACCCGGTTCTGGTCCCCAGGCAGCCATGAAGTTCACTGGTTACTTTGGGCCAGTTGCTGACTCTTAGCCTAACCTACCTCACAGGGTTGTTGTGAGGTTAACATGGAGAGTTGGAGGATTAAGAGTATGTTGCCTTGGGCCCCTTGAGGGAAAGGTGAGATAGAAATGAAATGAATAAATAATATAATTTCTTAAGTCATCTTTTTAACCAAAAAGTCACTCTGATGCTGACATAGTGTCTGCTTTGCAGTAGTATAAAAGGACACTTCTGTTGTAGTTCCAAGAGGACGTGCACGCTGCATGCCTCAGTTCAGCATTCACGAGGGCCACCAGTCCCACTAGAAGTGGCTCTTTAGTACTGCTTCCCCAGGGACCTGCTGTGTCTCTAGGGCAAAAACACAGATTGCTTGTCAGAAGGCACAGCTAGAGCCTCAGGCAAGAGGTGGCATGAGCCTCTTTGTGGTTCCCCTGGTATCCTATGACAGGTTCATGGCTTAGTAATGGCTCACATGCTTTGCAAGCAGAAGCTTCAGTTCCCAGCTTCTGGACTGAATAAGCGCCCGCCTGCGACGCTGGAGAGCAGCTACTGGTCGGTGTCCAACATACCAGGCGATGTGGACCAAGGTTCTGACTTCAGATAAGCAGAGCTTCCTCTGTTCTGCATTCCTGTGCACAAATCAGTCATTTCTGGTATGTGTCACTTTCAGATGCATTTGCCAAGAACCCTGTTCCATCCCATTTCTGAACTAAATTTCCCCTAAAATGGGTATTTAAATATGTATTTTCTCTCACAACACACATGTTAGCACTTATTTCACTTCTGTTAATATTGGAACACATATTGCTATATTTCAGCTGCTAAGAACTGCATCGCAGCATTTGGAGAAGGGGCAGATGTGGCGAAGAGTTGAGTTCCAGCGCATGGGTCAGTTCATATCTGCTTCTGAAATGACCTAGAGAGCCAGTGTGGGGTAGTGGTTAGAGTGTTGGACTGGGACTCAGCAAATGTAGGTTCTACTTCCCATTGAGCCATGAGGGTCTCTTTGTGACTTTGGTCTAGCCACTGATTCTCAGCCTTACCTACCTCACAAGGCTGTTGTGAAGATAAAATAGAGAGCAGAAGGAACATGGAAGCTATCTTGAATTTCCTGACAAGAAAATGTAATAATAAAGAGCAAGCACCCCCTCTCATAAGCTTACCTGGTGATGTTTTCCTCCATTAGCACAAAGCTTAGAGACACCAGAAGGAGGGAAAGAATTTTGAAGGACATCATGTTTGCAGCTTGAGTTCTGCGATTTAAAAGCACATGGTGTGTGAGATGGGGAGGGCAGGGAAATTCCACCGAGCTGGAACTGAAAGGCATTGTTTCTTTGACAGAAGCTCCCAAGTCACCAAGAGCTTTGAGTTTCGTTTCATAGAGTCATCCAATGGAGTGGGTTACACAGATCCAAGCAGATCTGCATCCCCTTTCTAGTACGCATGCCATGTTCCTGCACTCAGCAGTGCTTCAAATGTGGTCTTCTGAATGAATTCCTTGCGTTGTGGCTGCCTCCTGCAACGTGCTGCCTTCCTGATGCTTTGGATTACAACTCTCACCCTGAGCACTGGCCATGCTGGTTGGGGCTGCTGGGAGAGCCAAGTCGGGGAGGGGAGCCATTCTGTGGTGCGGGGCTGGCCAGCCACATTTTGAGGCCAGAGGTGGAGGATCCCAACAGTGCTCTCCTCCCCTGCTAGCTGACATGGAACAGAACCCACGGGGCATTGTGCTGCTCTGGTTTCATTGAGGATGAGCCTTCTCCATGGGTCACGGGTGTCTGCCTCCTACTTCGTGCTGCCCTTAAGTAGGACTGGTCCTGTCATTAAGTAGAATGAGGTGACTCCTTGGAGGACAAATGCTGAAGAGACGGGCAGCAGTTGCTCTTGGCTGATCTTCCTGAGTCCTCCAGCCATCCCCAGTATGGAGTAGTGCTTAGAGTGCTGGATGGGACTTGGGAGCCCTGGACTCTTGTCCCTCTTCATGAAGCCCACTGGGGGACTGTGAGCCTGTCCCTCACTCCCAGTCTAAGCTACCTCACTGGGTTGTTGGAAATTGACCAGAAATTCAGCTGTTGGTTTGTCCCTCTTCATTATGGGGGATGAAATGGGAGAGCAGGGCAACTTGTGCTTCACTTCAAGCAGCAAAAAGTACTGAGACAGCCCTGCCTTTAAGTGCACTCCCAATCCACTGCCTGAGATAGCTGCCTCATCTTGGTTCATAGGAGCCCCCAACACTCACAGTGTCATGTCCCCTTGCCCTTCCGTGTTAACGCATCTCCTCCCGACCCACATCAGACTTGCTGACAGTGCGCTGTTTCCATTTGCTGCACCTGCTTATATTGGCGACAATTACCTAATGCTGCACATGACTACTTGGAAGTAAGTCTGACTTACTTTTGCTGGTAACAGTAATGATACGCCTGTAATGGCTGGGCCGGTCCTACCATTGGGCAGAATGAGGCAGCAGCCTCAGGAGGCAAGATGCAGGCGAGTGGCAATGAAGCCTTCTAGGACAGCCTGCCGTTCCCAGGATGCTGGCAAATGCTGTCCCAGGGCCAGAACTGAGATCAGATTGACTGGGGGCTCAAAATGGGGGCAGATGCCGTTGTGTCCTTTGATTCAGGCATCAGAATGACTTGGGCCAGCTCTGATTAAGGGAGAGGCATCCCTGCTTGAGAGCGAGGCACCTGGCGATCACAGCTTGCTTGCTTCCAAGTCACTGCATGCGACGGAGTTCCGAGACTTCCTCACATTGCATCGTATGCTGTGATAAGATCCCCACATGGTTCTGATGGTGCTGGTTAGGCTCAACTGGGAAGGCGGGCAGCAGACCCTCAGAAAAGTGGACCCCACTCGGAAATTCAAAGGCAGGGAAAGACCATGGGTGCCCCTTATTCGCACTGTGCCACTGTGCTAACCTGCAGGCTGCCAATCAAGTCAGCGTAGATGAGCATAATTCCTAAGCAGTGTGCAAGTGTCGGGGTCACTGGCTCCCAGAATATATTCTTCCAAGGGATGGAAGTGCCTATTTAAGACTGCTTTGATTTGGCTCTCAGAACTTCAAGAAGGTCTACATGTCAAGTGGAACTGAAGTCTGGGAGTGTCCTTCCCATCAACTTGAATATGTGGTTGACACCTAAGACCTCTGAGGTGATGTATCTGAATGGACCCCCACCTACCCTGTCCAAGGTTAGCTTGGTTACAAACGCATTTGAAACCATGGAAAAGCCACTGGAGGGGCCTTATGAGTGAGGAAAGAGCCAGATGGAAAAGAGTTAAGCGTCCCCTCTTTGCACAGCCCCCTCATGGGGTGGCCAGTTGTTCAATTTTATGGAAGATACTTCCTACTTCGGAGAGTTGGCAGAGGACAGTTCGAGGGGGTTCTCTCTCTGATGGCCTGTGTGGTCTAAATCTGGCTGAAAGCCAAAGAACTGTAAGGGGCACCAAGGTTTGCCTCCTAAACTTAGCAGCTGGGCAGTAGCTCAATGGTTCACCCGGAACTGTCAGGCAAATTGCTGTCCTCTCTTTTGGCGATGCCCTTCATATTTTTTCAGGTGATACATAAATGACCAGTGTGCCCACCTGTCACTTCTCCACTCCACATCATCCCCTCCCGTTTCAAAAGAGCTGTCCGGTTAAAGCTACATGAAAGCCCCACTTGCAGGTTTAAATAACCCGTGCTTTGTTGTTTTTAAGCGCACGAAGGTAAGTTAGCCTGCTGGCATCTGATTGCTTGTCATGCTGCCTCTAGAGATGTATGGATTTTCTTAAAGTTGTTCCACCTATGTTTCACTGACTGCCAGGTGTCTTTTGTTCCATTGTTTACTCATTGATGGGATCTGGAGGCTTTTTGGGATGTACAAGAATTTCATTCCACTTGTGCAAATTGTGCTTTAGCCTAAATATGCATTGATATTGATGCAGACTTATACAAGTCTGCATTTGTGCTAATGTGCATTAGCACAAGTGCAAATTTGCACAAATTAACCTCCAACCTAGCAAACCAGCGCACAGAATCTGTGCAATTCAGAAAATGTTGATGCAGAATTCGCAGATTGGGAACCTGATTGCATTCGAATCTGTTACGAATTTTTCTGACATTCCTAGCTTCTGCTTTGCTAGACACTCTGTTCTTGTGCCATTTCCCCCCAACAACCCCACATCATTAAGAAAGAAACAGCCCAGCATTTTAACCCTTTTTTCTTGTATTACAGTTCCAAGTTGTTTCTCTTTTCATAAGTCTAAACCTTCTGTACGCTCCTAATCAGCCACACCAAGTCTTAGTGTGCAATGTGTAGTTTAGCCCTCAGACAGCCAGATGAAACCTGAGAATCTTACCTTTTGGGTCTTCCAAAGCCGCCCTTGAGCAGTGGAGGGAAGCTGGCATCCAATGGGAGCCCTGAGGATTCTTTATATACCCAAGGGTGTGACAAAGCAAAGCCATTTCCGTGAAACAAAACAGGAAGCTCCGCACCTAATCAAAGCAGATTAAAAGCAATTTAGATCAGCGACTCGAGGTTCACTGACCTCTGGAGCATGAAAATGCCCTTTTAGAGCATGTTTGCATTCATGGCAATTAAACTTTTGCTGTGTTGCTAAAATGAAGATCCGGTGCATTTTCTATAATTAAAGCCATTAACCATCCAGATTTCCCCAGAACCATTCATCTGTTAATTAGCAGGCCCCAACGGACGATGCCCATACAAGTTGCCTTGAGTGTAACCTGTCCAGCCTTTGGGATACTCCTCCCAGTTTTAGTCCAGACGGCTGCCTTTCAATCTGTCAGATGATGGACACAGCCCAGTCACTAACCATTTAGCATTAGTGAGGCATCGAGGGACCTATTGCAATCACAACATAATCATAGGCTTCTAATAATTGAAGCTTTCATTTTTTTAAATTATTAAATACAAAGTTGGGAAACAGATCAAAAATGCCAAATGCTTACCATGGCTACTTAATTTTCCTACACAGCATTTGCAGTTTTAGGAGTGGATGCAGCAACTAGATAATGATGCTCTATTTTCTAGCAAAAAGGGGGCCCTTTCCGCTACAGTTTTGGGTTCTTTTTCACCGAACGAATTCCGTTATTCTCTGTGGCATCCAATCAGTCAAGCGAATAGGTCATTTTACATCTGGGATTTCATGGTCTTTTCAAGGCAGGGAAAGCCTTTAAGACAGCCTGCCCCAATCTGACACCTTCCAGATGTGTTGGACTAGAACGCCAGGCAATCCACACCCAGTTTGCGTTATTTATTTATTTATTCATTCATTCATTCATTCAGTCAGTCAGTCAGTCAGTCAGTCATTTATGCAGACTTTTAATATCTTCTTCCATAGCCAATTTGACTCTCAGAACAGTTTACAAGAGTAAAATAAGATTAGATTAAAATACAATAAAATGGCAAAATAATAATATATTACAATAACAATACGTTACAGCAGTCCACACCCAAGCCAACCAACAAGAACAAAGATTATGTAAATCATTAGCATAAAAGAAATATAAACAACTAAGAAAAGCTTGAATCAGTGGTTCCCAATCCTTTCTATTTCCTGTACTCCTAGAAAATGTTTGATTTATGTTCACACCACCTACAAAAGTAATATTACATTTGAAGATAAAAACATCTAATTTCTAATTTTTTGACCCACAAATTGAACAACATACAGTACTGTGGGTGAACAAACAACTAAAAAAAAAGCTTTTAACTCAGTGCATAAAATTCAAATATAAATTGAGTAATTAGAGCAATTTGTAAATAGTAAAATCAATCTCAGCTGTGAAGATAAAATCCAATGACTTCTTTGTTCCTGCTTCTCATTCACAATCTTGTCAAGACTGGAGCTTCTTGCTGACTGCAGTCCACAAGTCTGCCTGTGGATTCAGGCGATTCCTAGATTTGCCTTGATTAAAAGAGAACTGAATCAAAATGCAAACAAAATCATAATAAATAATGTTATTATTGGGATACTTTTTGGTGTAAAACATTGTGATTTGCTAATTTTGGCAAACTGCGATGCAGCCTTCCTCTTTGTTGCACCCTTTGAAATGACATCTCGCATCCCCTGGCTGTGCAGGCACCTTATGTTTGGAACCCCTGGCTTAAATAAAAAACAGCGACCAGGCAAGTACATAAAAATGAGTTTTTTTAAAAAAATACTTCACTTAACAATTAAAATCCTGGAAGAACAATAAGCTTTATAGTATCAGCAGCAGACATATTTCTCTGG